GGAAAATAAAAAAACCCAATTGACTAGCTTGGCGTATAACTGAGCCTCTCAGCTACACTACAGTCTTTGACGAGAACTAGGGATTTCTGTCATGATCTCTTCATGCGAATTAGCACCTGTCTTTGAAAGTAACTATGACTCTCTGTATGGCTTAGATTCCCTCTGTTGTCACTTGTTAGGAAGTGAAGGTGAAGAAGCTGTAGATGACATTGTAAAGTGCTCCTCGGTTTGTGTTACTGGCTTTTGAATACCAGGGATTAGGGGTCAGGTCTAGCTGTGTGCATTAATGAGTTTCCTCAAGGTCTCGCTAAATATCAACCATTGCGTCGTCAAGCTGACTTGATGAAAAGTTCGGTTGACGATATCTGAATCCAAAAGATTGGTAAGGCGGGTCTCCAAAGCAAGGGCGGTTTTGTTAGCCGCCAGGATTCCGTGCAGTTTGCAGGGAGCAGTGCAACCGAAAGGTGGAAAGGTGGATTCTGTTTCTTGATTCCTTTATTCGTTGTTGCTGAAGTAAGCCTCAGAGACCAGTATGTAGTCTTACATTGCAAATGCAAGCGATATTCAGTCTGAAATGCCGCTGTCGTTACTCCGAAGGGTAATCTCCTAAAGTAGGTGATCTGCAATTAGGTCTTTAAGGTTGTGGAGACTTCAATGAGACGCATCCCACGTATATCTGTCCACGGGGAGGTGGGTACTATCAAAAAACTGATTACCCAACGAATATAGATGCTTTGAAGCCTGACATTTTTGAGTGTTGTTGAGATAATACAGGTCACTTTGAGTTGGTATTAGCAAGACGGTCTGGCAGGAGCGTTGCTTGGATGTTTCCTATTCAGCGACGCTATCGATCCACCAGCTTTGTGTTGGAGCCTGGAGCTTAGCTGTAAATTAGAGTGCTGACGGAAACACATACAGTGAACGTCCTTCTGTAGACATGAGTTCTGTCTTCAGGAATACAGGTAACGCGACAAGTGACCTACGGTAATTCTTGTAAATGGTGATCGTATCCAGATCCAATATCTTTTTGTAAAAATATCAACAGAAGACTCAAGTACTATGTGCGGCAACTAAGAGCTTCACCGGTTTACAACGCTAGGCAAGAAAAAAATTCCCAGACGTAGGAGAAGATTCAGGCGTGGTTTATTTGGATGTTTGATGACATCCTGCAGAGTGAACAATTGCGAATGCGAGGAAACTAGCTTTTAAATCATAATTCATGATTCCATATATTGAAAAACATTAAGTTTTTGAGCGATGGGTCATGGTTTCGAACTACGTCCACCCACCGAGGTCCTGGAAGCCAAGTAGTGATAGGACGAGTTAGAGGGTACCCTTTGAAGTATACCAGCTTTGCATTTGAGGTCATACATATGTCAGGTATGAAATCTTGAACAATATCCCCATCAAAACTCTTTTGAGGGGCCTTTTGAAGAGACCACCAGCTCCCAAAGCCATTGACAACTGTCAGTTTACAAGTAGCAGATGATGCTTTAAAGTTATGATTAACTGGAAAACCTAAGTTTTAACTTAAGATGGTAGGTACTCTGAAGCATTACACTCTTCATGGATTTTAGCGAAGACATAACTCCATCTTATCCCTAATCTCTGTCTTCTCTCCCGAAGAGATTCCTCAACTTTTTCTTTTTCATGAAGGATCTACCAAGGCTTTGACATAGTCACTGAATGCTGTATCAGCAGTCAACACATATAAAGCTGATAATTCTTGATCAGTCTTTGCAGTTATGCATGTCTGTAGTGAGGAAAAATATCCACTGATGATGGTAGCGGTTGATAACAGTGAACCCCATCGAGTCCCAGCACGCGCGCTTCGAATCCCGACGATCCTGGCCTCAATCCTTCAGTGGACCTAAACTATAAAATGATACATCTGTCCAGTGCCTCCAGATTCCCAACGATTCACTAGCTGACGTCAAGCTTGACTGTCGACCAGAAGAACGGCTGGCTATCCACCCAAAAGATTTTGGTCAAACTCACCGTCAGCCAAAAACGTCATACTTGGAAACCAACAGATGGACTGTCTTACTTAACACAAAGAAAGTCTGCTACATTGCAACTTGGTTATTGAAGCCTTTCAGGATTGTCACCACTCACATATTTACAAAGTCTCTTCGCTGTCTGTTGCTATACTGGCTAAAAGATATACCTTCGTACACTTAAGTGGGGAGTCGCATCAATCCAACTGGGCTACAGAAGGTCAGACGGGTATTTACCAGACTACATCATCTCTAGTGACGACTGGTGGATATTCGACTAAATGTTAAAGGGTGAGTATACTGCGCTACAATCCGTTCTATCCTGCTCAGAAGGTATTTCACCAACAAACATATGTCATCTCAATACTCTAAGGGAGAAGTAAATGTATTCAATCCGTTGAAAAATGCTAATAACCCCTTTTTTCTTTACCTAGGAACAATTTTTGCCCTAATGTTTGATACTAGTAGTTTTCCTCACAACCTCTATTGGCAGATGGACTCCCAACGTGGAAAGATGCCTCGATATCGCCTGTATACTCATGATACTGTATTCATCTTGGTGACTAGCAGTGGAATGTAGGACTCACGTTCTTCCTTTCTGGAACTTGTCAGTTGGATGTAATTGCCCCCCAGGGAGTGATTTTGTTCCCACTGAACTCAATAGTACTCATCACTTCAAACGCCAAAGTGTTCACTACCCACTAGGCAACTGGGGAATAAGAGTCACCACTTTTGCAGCGAGTATCATTTGGTGTTGTTTGGTACCTGTAATTTCGCTAGTGTTTATTCCTTTGTTTATATGTGGAGGACACATTATAAGAGTATAATCTAAGTGATTTATTTATCTGGGATTTTTTTTATTATCCCACACTCATTTCTGCCTCGCTTTCTGTTTTGTTTACTTGGAATATTGAACAAGTTCCTGCCTATGCATGCTTACGTGCACTTGTGTTTATGCGTGTGCATGTATAATGGAGGCTAAATGACTAGACGGTCGGGGACTGAAATGACAAATTCCTTGTGACTCATTTTTGTGACCGTCAATAGTTTGATTATGCGGGCAAGAAAAAATGGTACATTTCTGCTGTTCAGTGTGATATGGCATTTATTGTCATGGTGTACTTAAAGTTCTGCATGTATGTGTCTGCCCTTTTTCCTTGTTCATCAGGCCTTTTTTGTATAAACAAGGCGCTTTTATGCCAACATATAAGTCATGTGCACTCGATAAGGTTTTCTTTATGTTGCGGTTTGTAGACTTGGCAAGCAGTTAAACATTTACAGTTGGTATTCATTACGCACTGACTAACTGACATCAGTTGGAGAAACCTTAAAAAAAAACCTGAGACTATTGGACCGATAGCTGTTTCGTTCTACTAGTGTATGCAGTTGACTGACTTCTTCGCAGCGCGTACCCATGACCTTACCTTGGCAGCGATCGAACTCAGGACCTACAGGTTCCGCGGGTCATGGGTACGCATTGGTGAGTAGTCCTATAGTAGTGTCTGTTGCGCTAGCCGATAACCTCCTAGTGCAAGGTAAGATCATTTTACCACCTGTGTGTGTATAAGCGTGACTCCAACCACATACAGTGTACATTTCCGACACAATTTATCGCCAAGTATCATATCGAGATGACTCCACAACCCTGAGACATGGTTTTTATGGTGCCATTTCTCTCACCGCCTTCTTTGTGCTATAACTAAGTAGGGTTCTCCACAGATTTGAAGTCTAATGGGGGATTCGGGTGTGGAAGGTTTTGTCTTTAGACACTAGTGTATAAACTCCAGCCTTCTGCATTCTGGTTTGTTCTGTTATTGAGCACCTCTAACCCCCTCCTTTTCGAAGTGTCGGTTCAGTCCCCACTGAGTCCCTTTTCTAACTGCTTTCAGAGTCAAGTCAGTCGGTGTTTTCACTAAATCTATTCCTGAAGCCATAACAACGAGACGATTTTGACCTATAACAGTTTCTAGTTGGCCGTAGGGTATCACTGCTAAATATCTAGATAAGTTGAAGTATTTCCGAAGCCTACTGTGTATGTGATAAGGTAAAACGGTTTATGAACTTTTATAGTGTATTTGGCGGTTAGCAGTTGATTCTATTTGGGACTCACTCGTCAGGTCGATGTATCTGTCTGCATCATCCAGGGAGTAGGGAGTAATGTTGTCATCCAACTGCGACTCGAATAGAGTAGTACGCATTGCTTGAGGCGCGAAGCGTTCATTATCCCCTAGGCCAACGGGGCACGACAGCTGCTGGATGTTTCACAATTCTGAAGAGACAAACAGAAGGCTGGTTGTCAATAGTTCTTGCTGCAAAAAAGTGAAAGTGGATAAATGTTCAAAAGAAGGTAAGTCTGTGTGATATTCCTGCGTTAACCCAGTGGCAAATTTGTCTGACTGTAATTGACTTTAGCACGTGGTTCGGTTTATTCACTCTTAACCCTGACCTTGAGCGTGATTGGCTTAGAATAGACCTGCCCAATCTCTTACCAAACTCATCCCACTCTACCCATATGGCGATTCACGCAATCCAGCCCTCAAAACTAGCCAATTACAAAACAACACAGAGTTTGGTGTTTGTTGTTCATACATTTCAGGCAGTCTGATTCATATGTGCATATAACTGAATTGCTTGACCATGACGTACCATAATTGATGAGCATGAAACAACCAATTAATGTCAAGCCCAAAATAAATGAGAGGAAGCACAATATGCTGGATTGATGGATTTCACTCGATATGCTGAATTGTTTCTGAACTATGTGTTGACATGACGTGTAACAACTCGGGCGGTTACACAGTAGTCTGAATTCCCATGTCTCATCTTGATATGACGATGGTGGCGTTTTTCTCTAAAATAAAACTTGTGAAACTGACATATTACGTCAACATTTCAAACTATGTTCATTCACTTATTTCATTCATTCAGTACCATATATATATGTCGCATTAAATCAATTTAACCTTAATCGGTTCACGATTTTGCTTAACTTTTTATTTCAAGGTCACGTTGGCCAACAGACGAACACCAGGGGTAGTAATCGTAATAATAACACAAACTCTATCGCCTCACTGAAAGCAGCGACGACTTCAGCTACTGGAACAACTGATCAGCTGATCAATTCACTCTGTCGTACATCATCCTTAGCCAGATATCAATATCGAAATGATGAAGGGGTTTCAAATAAGTCGAACCAACATCATCAGCATCAGCAACGTTACAATCCAACTCCAGATCCTTCACACTATCCCACAGAACAGTCGAACTACCATGATACTCTCCCATGTGTGTCAACTCTACAACTGACTTCTGATAGTAAATCGTCCTCACTAAGTAAGGAAAGTGGTGGACGAAAAATATTGGTAAGTAAAATTTTCTCCTTCTCTTCTCAACAATTTTCACTGAACCAATCAAATCAATAAATATTGATGATTCCCTCCCCCTCCCCCCCCAGCTTTTTCTGAGTGTATATTATTTCTTATCAGATCGCTGATCAATTGTTACATGGTAAGATGTATAGTCTGCAAACTTGGGGCACCGGTATCCATGTGACATACACACACCACTCACAGGGGTTTGGACCCACGTCACCCAGTGTTGCAGATAGCGACGTTATCACTGCGGTATTCGGGCTGCAATTGGTTCGATTCTGCATACATTCCACCCGTCACTCATTCAGTTAGAGTGAGGAGGGAGATGGTACCTGAAACGTGATTGAGGCTGGTAACTACTTCATAATATTCAAATTCGACATCACTGCCTGCCTATCTGAGTTGTCAAAGTCGGTCTGGGAGCTGATGCTGTTTGAGTTTTTTCAAATAAACGGTTTTGAATTTCAACTGAGTCGGGAGTTTTTGCGCTTCTGGCAGCTTTCAGAAGCATTTGTTGGTGGTGGCTTGGCCTGGGCAACTGTCTGTCATTCAGTGGAGGCCAGGAAGGTCCCCCAATTGAGGTGGCTTGCACATGTATTGCAAATGTTCAACCACTGCTTCGTTGACGTGCAACCCTAGCAGAAGTAAGGTTAAGTTGAAAGAGGTCTACTTTAATTTCTACGTTGATTTGTGTGTCTTTCTGTCTGGCTCTGTTGTCAGTGGATCTAATTTAGCGCTCTTTCAAAATGACAGGGTTTAACCCCAACCTGTTAGGCTTCAGTGTACACACGCATACTCTAGATAGGTTAGTCGGTTGGCCAACCCGACTCGTTGGAGATCTATTTCGTTGAAGAAATAGCACAACTCTCGCCTCGCGAACTGCTGGTAGCACCCGTCTCTCTCCTTGCGATATTATCCCCGTTAACTGGCAACGCCCGAGTTAATAAGACTGGCTTCCGGACCATAAAGTGCTCTTTAAATTTGTTTCAATGCTGTTGACTACTGGAACTGGAAACTGGATTCCCTTACGATTTAGTCGCACCGCTCGCAATGAATCGGGAGTAGCCTCCCTACTTTGAAGACCCACATTACTGAACTTGTGTATATAGACCTCGTCGACCGCAGTTTACACTAAATCACTTGACCGTGTAGTGGATTTAATCAAGCAGGGCCTCAAATAACTTCAATGCATGATCCCCTTCATCAAGCATAGTACGTCAGGATTTCTCAACAATGCTTCCTACAGTTATTCCTATCAATGTGAGTAGTATCTTGGACTTTAAGCCGCTGACTCCATGACTCTGACTTTCTTCTGCATTTAGTGGCGTGGATTCAAACCCCTTGGTTAGGAAATCACTGCTGTTGAGGTTTCAGACACTCCTTGTTGACGAATGTCAAAAGACACGAAACCTATGTGGAAAGGGGTTTCCTGCTTACTGACTTTCACAGTCTAACGTTAAAATCCTGGATGGTCACTCTTCAGTGAATTGTTTAGTTGATAGTGGTCACTAGCAGCACTCAGGGTGTGTTTCGTTAACTGTGAGCAGCATCAGCCGAATATACTCATATCGTAGTGATTGATGATGTTTTCACTGTAGGCTTCAACCCAAAACTAATAATGTCACGCTAGAAATCATGACAGTCTCGAGGAATCCGCACAATGCCGCCCTCCTATGTCCAAATAGCACTCGTTTCCGGTCGACTTCATGAATATTTTAGCCTGATCGATTCAGCTCAGAAGGTCCGACCGACTGTGGTGGTTATCGTGCTCCCGTGGCTTAGAGGATAACGCTCTCGCGTTTGAAGCGAAGGGTATTGGATTCCAGCCTCGGTGAGAACAACATCACTCACTGGGGTGCAGGTGCATCTGGCTGACGAGCCCTAAGTAGGGCGAAACGCGCGTCCTAGATTCCTCTACCAGTCACAAAGATCAATATAACGTTCAACTGTTGTTTAAACCATGGCTAATAGTTATGGATGATATGGAGCTACTCATTTAATTTATTCAGTAGTATATTTCGTTTGTCTTTCACGCTTGCAGTTTTGTTTTTCGTAGGAAGCTACGTTGAAGCTTCTTACCATAAGACTGTGAAGAATTGCAAACACCTGAATTGAAATGAAATCTCACCTCTTGAGATCAGATGGAAGGAACTGTTGGCACAAATAACTAGTCGATGCTGCACATCAGTATAGTAGGCAGCAAGCCACTCGCCTATAGTGTATGCAGGCTGTGGAAGCCTCGGTAGGCTGAATGGAGTTCAAACTCGTGACTCATTGGCTGAAGGTCAACTCCCTCAACCAACGACTCTCAACTCCACAAAGGATGGCGGGAACATAGGATGTTGCTTGTTCGTGTGTCATGATAAGAGGCTTAGAAAAGGTGGAGCATGTTTCTAGCTGATGCAGTGGATGTTTAAACTAAGTTGCCTTCTCAGCCAGTCGACAAAAAAGTCCAGTTCAATGGACAATTCAATCTCAACAATAAGAACTTTCCAAAGCACCACTGTTATTAACGCAACCGGGAATTTGTTATAACTTTGGCTGCAGTTGACTTAATCACGTGATTCTGTCGATTGTTCAATGTTAACGCTGACCTTGCATGTGATTGGCCTAGGATGTATTTTCCCAGCATCATATTATACTCACTCCACTCCACCCTCACGATGAGTCACGCAACTCAGCCTTCTCATCTACGCTTGCTGATAGCATATTTCAGTCTGATTCATCTGTACATGTAACTGAATTACCAGACCACAACGCACCATAGTTTATCAGAATGAAACAACCAATCAATTTCAAGTACAAAATAAATGGTAGAATGCACAATTTACAGAACTGATTAGTTTCACTCAACATGCTGTAATTATTTTTGAACTGTAAGTGATACAGAAATAGGTGTTGGATCAGTCGAAAGCTGTTCAATCGAGCTATGCGACAACTGGGTTACCAATTAGGTCACAAGTAAAATAAGGTTTAAAATCAATAAAATAGTATAATCAATGACACTCATGGTGAAATGTGGGTTGCTTTTCATTAATGTATGAAGAAGGGGGATATGCTTTTGCATTAGATGTACGCCAGGTAACGCTTGATCAATACAACTCTATGATCTATCTTGTCTTGACATCAAAAGACGAAATATCTCCTCATCAGCAGTCGTCACAGATAACTGAAAATAAAGTGATTCGATGGGAATCGGTCGGCACTGATCAGCCAGTTAGTTAGACAACTTCTCAACTGAAAAATGCTGAGTCTACACGAATAGGTCGGTTTTTTAAGTAAACAGGGTTCGAGCACTTGGAGCCTCTATTTTAACTCATAAGTTAAAACTAAATACACTTTCTACAGCTCTTGTTTAACTTGACATTGTCCTAAGAACGTTTTTTTTCTTTAAAAAAATCACAAAATCAGTTCAGTGTTAAATGACCTTGTAAGTTTGTTGTTTATCTGCGTTATCCGCATTGTCAGTTTGTTTGTTTGTTTGTTTTTACGGAAAACTCATCAGATCAATAAAATCGGAATACTAAAATCTCTACTCATCAATCAACTAATGAATAAAACAATGCACTGAGGTCACAAAAAAGAGAATTTGGTTAGAATAGAATATTATTTATTTTATTGATATTTGTGAAGTCCGCTGTATCATCCTATTTGAGGCTTTTTAGCTGGGGGTATTTACCTCCCAGTGAGTGATGGTGCTCCCGTTGAGACTCGAGCCCACTGCCTATCTCTCCAAATACCGGAATATTTTCCCCTGGGATACTTGGACTTGAAACTCACCTCTCATTCTAAGGATATAAGTTGTTATCATCTATTGAAACTTATGATTTTCCTGTAGTTTTACTGAATCAGATTGACCGACGTCTGTCGGCAGATGGGCTCGTGAGCAGATGCCTCGATACTGCCTAAAGCTGCATTTTGTTATAATTTGTTTGGTTAGTGGCTATTTCGGGCCTCGCTCATCAACTGGATATACCTCCACTTCAGGGAATGGTGGTGTTCCCACTTAGGCCTGAACCCTGTAGTGGATGGTGAGCGCATTCACCTGATGAGTCTCAAATTGGACGAAACACATGTATCCTGGCTTCCACAACTAATCAATATTAATTAATTTGAAGAGAGAGAGAGGGAAGGAGGAAAACATGAAAATTTTCTTATAAACTGACGAACAGAATATTGTTTGTCTAAATAGTGAACTAATGATGACTGACAGTTTACCAACATCTACCTACGCCTTCAACTTGGAATATATGGTTCAAGTAGAGTTTTGGACAGTTATGTAATATCAAGAGACCTAAATGATTGACCGGAAACAGAAAAGCAGCATCTAGATACTGTAAAAGTGACTTTTATCGAAAATCCCTGATAAATTAGAAACTACGTTCTCCTCCACACACTGAATGGTTATACCGAGACTGGAAGATGGTTTTCCTAGACAGGCCACTTCCTGTTGGGCTGGTCAGTTCCACTACTCCTATGGAGTCAGATGGATACGTCGGCCTCCGCTTTAGGTGTTTAATTCCCCATTCTTGCAGCCACCTTCCAGAGTGATTCAGCGAACGTGTGATAAAGGCCCGTACCAGCTCCATATTAAAGCCTTTAGCTCATGAGAGCCATATGGTGGATGTGAATCGAACTCCAGGTATTTCATCCCACTGGCATGGGACTCGTCGACAGTGGACACCCATCACCCCCCACCATGGACTAAGCCCAGAACCTTCACTTTTCATGATCAGCACCTTACCACTAAGGCACCGGGTGGGAATCCAATGTTTCACACTTCTATCAGTTCGGGATAGAGCGCGATCTCTGCATGTTTGATGCAAAACTATACAATATGGGCACATAAATGTACAGCCTAGCGAACAAGAAGTTCCCGAAAAAATATTCCTTGTCCATTCGAATGGCTTTTGGAAAATCAGTGTGATATGCATTCTTGCGTGAGCTGGAAAACAAATTGATGTCGTTCAACGTGTTCTGTTAGTATTATT